GAGAGAGAATCATTGATTGGCTGCCTCCTGCACGGAGGATCAATCCCGCAACCCAGGCCTGTGCCCTTGGCCGGAATGGAACCTGGGCCCCTTCAATCTGCAGGCTGACGCTCTATCCACTGAGCCAAGCCGGCCGGGGCTCGTGGGAGGGTCTGGGTCCGGGGCGAATTGTGTAGCTTGTAGCTGGACGCAGTGGAGGCCAACTAGGGACAGGGCCGGAACTGGCCCCGCTTTCTGCTGCCTCGATGGGCCTGAGGCAGAGCTGAGCCAGGATTGATTGGGGGCGTGGCTGCGAGCCGGACCTGGGCAGGTGGGCGGAGCCTGACCCTCTGGCCCTGCAGGCTTTGAGGGCGCGCTGTGCGAACTCAACGTGGATGACTGCTCTCCGGACCCGTGCCACCACGGGCGCTGCGTGGACGGCATCGCCAGCTTCTCCTGTGCCTGCGCCCCGGGCTACACGGGCACGCGCTGCGAGAGCCAGGTGAACGAGTGCCGCAGCCAGCCCTGCCGCCACGGGGGCAAATGCCTCGATCTGGTGGACAAATACCTCTGCCGCTGCCCTCCTGGCACCACAGGTGGGACCGGGGGCTGGGCCGGGGCAGCAACAGTACGTCCGGAGGGTTTCGGGAGTTCGGGAATGGTGCTCCCCGCGCTACCCGTGTCTTGTTCTCCTTCTGCAGGTGTGAACTGTGAGGTGAACATCGACGATTGTGCCAGCAACCCCTGCACCTTCGGAATTTGCCGCGACGGTATCAATCGCTATGACTGTGTCTGCCAGCCTGGCTTCACAGGTGGGCAAGCAGCTGCCATGGGAAGGGGGCCTGAGAGGGTGAGGGGGAAACCGCCCATCTCTCTTGGCCGGGTTTTGCCCCTCTCTTTGCACTGGCTTGGCCAATGAGATTGCCCACACCTTATGGTCTCTCTGTTTGTCACAAAGTTGCCCCCATATTGGCTCAAGTTTATCCTGGAACGTAGATAAGGCTGTTCTGATGGGGCGGGGGTGTTTCTGAGTGGGGCCAACGTGATTTTCGGTGAAAATGAAAATGACTTCATGTAAGTTTGGGGATGAAGATGATCTGGGGGCAGGGCAGCTCTGGGCTGAGGAGTGGCTGTTCAGGTTTGCAGAAGAGCTGATGTGTTATGAGACGGAGAATGTCCTTGCTCCAGGGCGTCCCTCTCTGTCGGCTGGGTTGTCCTTGCCTTTGGATGAGGTTGCCTGTGTGCTCCCCAGGGCCTCTCTGCAACATGGAGATCAACGAGTGTGCGTCTGGCCCCTGCGGGGAGGGCGGCTCCTGTGTGGATGGGGAAGACGGCTTCCACTGCCTCTGCCCGCCTGGCTCCCTGCCTCCACTGTGCCTGCCCCCAAGCCATCCCTGTGCCCAAGAGCCCTGCAATCACGGTGTCTGCCATGACGCGCCAGGAGGGTGAGGCCTTTTCCCACCTCATGACCCGACCCCCCTGTCTCTCCGCCCACTTGCTGGCCCTGACTGCCGCCCCCTTCAGGTTCCGCTGTGTATGTGATCCTGGCTGGAGCGGCCCCCAGTGCAGCCAGAGTCTCACGCGAGATGCCTGTGAGTCTCAACCCTGTGGGGCTGGTGGCACCTGCACCAGCAACGGCATGGACTTCCACTGCACCTGTCCCCCCGGCATGCAGGGTATGTGCCCCCACTGTCCTGCCCAGGCTCTCCTGTCTCCCTCTTCCTTCTTCCACCCTCTGCTCCACTCTCTTCCTCCTGTATGTTTGCCTTTCTTTCTTTCTTTCCCCCCCTTGCAGCTTGGGAGGTGGGTATCAAGGTGGGGACGCTAGGGGGAGATGGGAACAAGGAATCTCTTAAGACTATTTCACTTTGCCCGCCCACCACAGGCCATCAGTGTGAGCTGCTGTCCCCCTGTGCCCCGAACCCCTGTGAGCATGGGGGCCACTGCGAGCCTGGTCCTGGCCACCTGGCTGTCTGCTCCTGCCCCCCTGGCTGGCAAGGTACATGAGCTTCCTCCTCCTCCTCCTCCTCCTCCTCCTCCTCCTCTTC